CTTCATGGACTTAGAGTTTCTAATACTGTCACTTTTATTTTCTAGTGAAGGCCAGATCAGATACATCTTAAACAAAAACAGAGTAAACCCCAAGAGTTGTCACTTTTGGAGGATTTTTTGTTATTCTCATGAATTTGCTCTTTGGGAATAAAAAATAAATAGACATTTCCCATTTCCTCCTTTTGTTTCTAATGTGTTTCTCTATTTCTTTAGGTTCTACAATGAGAAGATGATTGTGACAGAGGAAATAACAGATGTTGCAGACTTCATGGTATCACTGCTTGGCACTGATTGTTCTGGGGAAGATGAACTCACATACCTCACACTTAGGGTATTTTTATTTCCTTCTTTCCTTATGCAGGCTATTATTTTAAATTGTAGCACATGTGTTACCCTACTGCTCTTGGTGGAGAAAAATGTTTTTCATCTTTCTCTGTTTTCATCACTGACAGGCTATTGGAAACATGGGTGCAGTAATGGAGAAAGCTAAACCCAACCTGAAATCTTTTCTTAAGACATGTATCAGAAATGAAGCTGCAACACTTTCAGTTCAGAAAGCAGCCATCCAGGCATTCAGGAAAATGACTATTACTGAAGAGGTAAATTGGGTCACAAGAATAAGCATAAACTGTTTTCAGTTCACATTGACTGTTCACAGAAGTTATTGAATGTGCAAAAACATTCCCATAATTTCATAGTTTTGCTATCTCCCTTTTAGCTGTCTCCAGCTTTTTTAGAGCTCCTTTAGTTATTTTAGTTTGCATATACGTATCTGAGAAGTTCTGCAGAATTCTGACTTAGCGGGTGTTGCTCCTTTGAGATGCAGTTGCTCTGTATAGATAGTCTCAGTTTAAATGGGAAGTTTGCATCTGTTCCTGTTAGAGTGTCTTAAATAAATAGTGTTCTTAAATGGACTTCTACTTATTTAAAGGTGGTTTTAACTAACCAATTACACCAGATTTATATGGATTTAAGAAAAAAACAGATCTCTATTTTATACTGGCATTTTGTTGTGATTGTTATTAATAGTACTGGTTAGATTTATGTTTGCATTACAGTGATGTTAAAGCAGCTCCTACAGAATGGGTGTCATTATACAGAGCACGTCAGCTTAGTATAGTAAAATGTTTCAATAGCAACAAGTTTCTACTCTAAGAGACATGCTTTTGTTTCCAGACAAAGCTTAACAAGTCTGGGAGCCTGGAAACACCTGGAGCTCATGTCCTCAGATTCAGTTTAATTTAAAGCATTTACTTTTTTTTATGATTATTTATTTTCAAACTATGTTTTTAATTTTCCTGCAGCAGAAGATTTTTATCACCTTCTTTTCCTAAATTGAATGGTCTTTTTTCCGAAATTTGACAATTTGTCTGCAGACTAGAACACTTCTGATTCCCAATAATCAAACTCAGTATTCTAAACAAAAAAGTAACCTGCCAGATATAGGATAAGAAAATCAGTTTTAATAAAACCATAATTTCTATTACGTTTTCTATTAAAAGAAACTTTATCAAAATAGCTTTAATGAAACATTTTTGGTCAGTTATAGAAATAAGGTATAGAAATAGTTATGCAGTCCCGAAAAAATTACATCCTGGAAATTTCACACTATATATTCCCAAAAGTGTTTAGCAATATAATCTAGCCAGCTCATCAGTGCAAACCTGTCTCTATTTATATAGGACCGTTCAGCACTTCTGAAAGCATTCCAAGAAGGGGACGCACCTACAGACAAACGTCTAGTAGCCTATCTCATACTGATGAAAAATCCTTCCCCAAGTGATCTCACAAAGATTTTGAGAGTCCTCACAAAGGAGAAGAACGAGCAAGTGAAGAGCTTTATTGCCTCACACATTGCCAACATCCTAGACTCTGAAGAAGTAGGCCTTGAAGAGTGAGTAAAATTTAGTCATATACTGATCTCCTAGGAAGAACAAAGTTCTGACCGTAATTGCAGTGGTAGTTATTTAGCAGTGCATTTTTTTCTTCTTTTTTTGCTTGCTTACTCATTTTCTTTGCTTGAACAAGCACATCAACTGAGTAAATCTGTTGCTTTGTCAGAGCACTGCCAGGTTACAGTCTTTCCCTTAAGTTTTATTTTTACTGTTAATATGTGCAGAGAGCTAGCCGTTTACAATCACCTCGTTTGTATGAATGTCTGCAAGTAACACAAGAAATCCCTCAACTAAGACTAAATGAGTTTTTTGAATTTATACTAATCGTATTTGCATTGCTATCCTCTTTCCTAGTCTAAAAAGCCAAGTTGAAGAAGCTCTGAAAGGAAACCAAGTTCCAACAGCCAAAGATTTCAGAAAATTCTCACAAAATTATCAGATTTCCAAAAGAGTTTCTGTACCTGGAGTTGATCCCGTCTCTGCCAAAGTAGAGGGAAATGTGATATTTGATCCAAGCAGCTATGTTCCTAAAGAGACTATGCTGAAAACCACCCTGAATGTGTATGGATTTGGCCCAAGTGATATCTTTGAGGTACAACAATTATCAAAAACTTTTGCTAGTATTCAACTGTTTTCTTTCTCATTTCTGTATTCTTATAACAACTTTCTCTGAATAATGTATTGTTTTTACAAGCTTTGGGAGAAATCTAAAGATGACTATGCTTACAAGGGGAATTTAATTTCATCTCAATGGGCTTTAGAGCAAGCCATCTGTTATGTGATGTCACTTGCCACTGACTGGATGGACGACCCTGTTGGAGTTATTAAAGGCCTCAGCTAGGGTAAAATGAACCCATCTGTAACAAATTGACTTCATGCTAATGAATCGTTACTGGCACACTAAAGTACTTATAGTAGATTTTAAGTGAGATACAGGCTATGTGTAAGTTTTTTGTTGGACCTCACCACACAGATAAAACTGATTGTAAGACCTAGTGTTCTGTACCTTCCCTTAAGAATGGTAGACTTACAGGTTACACTTTAAATGCATCGTTTGTCCCTCATAAAGTCTTTCTGTTGTAAAGCTCCAAAGAAGTGGGGAAACTGTCTCAGTTATTGCCTGTTCATTTCAGCTTGGCATGGATGGAAAAGGGTTTGAACCAACACTGGAAGCTTTGTTTGGAGAGAAAGGATTTTTCCCAGACACTGCAAGCAAGGCCTTGTACTGGGTTGACGGCAGAGTGCCAGAGCAGGTTTCCAAGGTGCTTTTTGACTATTTTGGTTATTCCCAGGATGGCAAGCGGGATCGGGATCAGGTACAGCTTGAAAACATTCTCTGCGATGCATGGCAATTCCTGTCTTTACACCATAAATACAGCACTTCCCTCTTTATTGTATATGATCCTTTTCCTCTTCTGATAAGCTAAAATAGAAATCCTTAATGCTGTTTAACAATGTTTTTTTCTTAATTGTATGTGGGTGGGGCCTTTGGAGACAAATCTGTCAGAAGTTCATGTGGAGATTAGCTGACATTCATCAAGTAACTGTTCTAGATATATGATCTTACAGATTTCTCATAAATCTGTTTTACTACTTTCTGACTGAATTTTCAGGATGTCATGAAAGGAATAATGCTTAACATTGAAAAAATGATAAAAGAATTGAGCAACAAGGAAGCTCCTGAAGGAAGAGCATATCTGAGAATCCTGGGAGAAGAACTTGGGTACATGAAACTCAATGATTTCAAATTGCTGGGAAGCATGATTTTAAAGAGTGTTAAAACTCTTCAGACTGTTCCCGAAATGGTATGTTTCTGATGCACCAATATGTTTTATTAATTTGGATTTTTTCTACAAGATTTTTTTAAGATTTAGGTTGTGTTTATCTCTTATGTAGAGAATGGATATTTGATACCAGCATGAAAATAAAATTATTTAAAATAAAATATCCAGGTTTAGTCTGGAAGACTTTGAGAAATCCATGAAGAGTCCTCAATAACCAAGTGGAGTCCTCCTGGAAGATGGGTGAGAGCAAGGAAAAAGGGAAGGTTCAGATCTTATTGTAGGATTCAGATACCTACTGGAACAGTGCCCAAAATCTTAGTGTTGGCCATTATGTTATACTACTAAATTTCTAATTATGAAAATGTATATTAATATTAAGCAATAACTCATTATACTAAAAAGAAAAGAAGGTGTAGTACAGTTTAGGAATATTTGGTAAATCCCTTCTTTCATTGAAGTAAAAAACCTCTTTGACGTTGACTTTGGGGAAACTAGAATGTTACATGTTATCTAAACCAATTCACCTTTGTATGTGTATGTCAAGGTAAAGATCTGCGTGTGTCAAGGCAGGTCATAAAACCTAGTATTCGTTTAAAGCTGAGATTTTGATAAACAGTCTTTAGTACATTTTATGAAACAAGGAATCTGTAGAAATTAGATTCTGTACTCTATATGAAATTAATTTTTGAATTAGTTAGAGTCATTCCATGATTCCAAAGTGTAAATTTGTTAGTGTTCATTTCCTTGTTTGATTCACAGATTGCACAAGCCATCTCAAAAGGTGTTGACAGGGATTTATTTGTCCACTATATGTTCATGGACAATCAGTTTGAGCTCCCAACTGGAGCAGGTTTGCAACTGAAGTTTGCCTTGTCTGGAATAGCGACACCTGGGGCCAAAGTAGCTGTGAAGCTTCAGCAAAAAAGCGTAAGTCTCAACAACTGTCTATATTTTGTCTCCTCCTAATAATCTGCAGTCTCATTTACGGATAACACTGTAACACCAGAAGAATTTTAAAGACTACAAAACACTCTTGAAATTAAAAAAACAACTTACTTATTAGAGATCTCCAGTTAATTTGTGGGTTACATTTATATAAATTATGAGACATAATAAAATTCATTAATTAAAAGTATTTTAATCACCCTTTCAAAAATAATCATTTTAATTTCTGTTTATTTCTCTCTCCCTGCTGTCAAATGAGAATAGTACAAAAGCTACAGTGTGTGAATATGCTGTTCAAACCAAACAGTTAATATAAAATTTTGATGTGACCAAATCAAAGTGAAGATTTTAAGTTTTGGTTAAAAGAAATATTGAAAATTGAGTTAAATGAAAGATTTTTTGATCTGAAAAGAAACATTTAAAAATTGTAACAAAGAGTATATGACACAAAATTAATCAGTTTAAAAAAAATTAACTTAAATATTTCTGGATTTTTTTATAGTTTTAATAACTATTTTGCTCTAATTTAGTCAGTATCTTATATAAATTTTTCAATAGTTTCAGTTCACCTAAACTGTTAATTTTCCACCATATGCACCATTTAAGTAAGAATAAAAAATAAGTCCTCAAATGTAGTACTGGTTGCCTTTTAGTTCCCTTTGAAATCTTTTCCAGAATTTTGCATTCTGTCCCTTCTTTCTGTAATGGCCAAACCAAAAGCTTGAAAAAAAGCTGTTTTCTATTTAGAGAAATTCAAATCTTGGATCCATTTCTCTTTTGTGAAATAGTTTGCTCATTGTTTTTGAAAATTGCTTTTTTTTTTTACAGTGGAAAACTGGCTCTTTTCTTCCGATTTAAAAATGCATGCAAGTAGCTCCATGTACAAAATATTTCTGAAGGATGAGTGTTTTTACATTAAAGTAGATGAGGTTCCTTGGTGTTATCCTCTTGCTGTATTTGTTACATTACAGTTACCACTTATGTGGTCCCTCTGCTTGTGTGACTTGGGAATCAAATTTTTTGAATAGCAAAATTAATTATATGAAACCTACCTCTAAATTATCAAGAATATTGCATTTGCTTTATAAAACTTGTAAGAAGTGTATTGGGCAAATAAATACACCATTCTGTTTTTATTAAATAGATGCAAGCAGAACTCATTGCTAAACCTTCAGTTGCAATTGAGTTTGTAGCAGACCTGGGAATAAACATGCCTGAATTTGCTAGAAGTGGCGTGGAGATGAATTATAATATATTCCATGAGTCTGGAATTGAGGCACATGTTAGTATGAAAGCTGGGCAGCTGAAATTCAGCATTCATG